TTCGAGGGCGGCGGTATCGACACAGGCCTGATTGAATTACTGCAGCGACAGCTGGATCGGTGCGGACCTGAGAATCTCTTGCGGCCTGCACCAGAACCACCAGCGACTGCGGAGTGCGAGGGCCAGGGCTTCGGAGTGTTCACGCTCCTGCTTGGGGGGTCTAGTCTCGTTCGTCCTGGGCCTGAGGGCTTGTGACGCTCGAGTGCAGCTGCCAAGGTCTCGCGGGGTCACAGGGGCGATTCCAGATGGCGCCTATGACGAGGCGCAGGAGGACCACTCTCGGACGGCTGCAAAAGTACGGTCGGGTCGACGCGTATTACGATCAGGCAGATGATTCGTGGCACGAGCGGCTCCTGCTCAAGCAGCTGGGGCAGACGCGGTGCATCATTGTCACTCCGCACTTCGATCTTTACGCTGAGGAGTTGTCGGAGGCCATCGACGTGCGAGAGCCATGCGGCGGTGTCGGAGGCATCCGCGGCAACGTGCTGCGGATCGACATGGCTGAGTTTCGTCGCCGTCAAGAGGAGCTCGAGGCCGCCGCATAGGCCTGCGCATCGGACATTCGGCGCGAGGAGGAGCTGGCCATGGGGGCTGTCGGAGGCGACGCTGCACCTGCGGGCGATGCTGCCGCTGCTTGGGAACCTGGAGGTGCGTCTCACGCCCGTGCTGCATCAGCTGTGGGCCACGCCTTCTCGCGTGGGACATTGGTGGCAACTGAGGCGCGTGGGGGGCTGTGAGATTGGCAGCGAGCTGGTGGATGTGAGGCCTGCGTGTATTCTGGGGGATCGTGCTATCCTTGGACTGGCCGATGGTAGTGTGCTGGCCGTTGGTGCCCCTGGCTCTGCGGGCGCGCTCCCACCGCGTGGACCCCTGCAGGGCGCGCGCACTCTGACGGTGAATACCGACCTGCTGGGGGAATGCAGCCGCGGCTTTGTCGACGCAGTGCAGGTGATGGCGCCGGAGTCCATCCCTGGGTGGCCCATCAGTGGGCCTCGGACCCGCATGTGGTTGTTGACGCAGCTAGTGAGGCTTGGGTACACGGGCATGCAGCCCCATCTGTGGTGGAGGCAGGTTCTGGCGTTGACGCCTGATCGTCCAGGTGTGGATGAGCATGCTTTTTGAGTGAGTTGATCGACGTCGGTTGCCAGGTGGATCAGGCGTGCTTGCCGAACCTCGCCCGTTACGCGATGGCGCGCAGGCGATGTCAGCTGTGGGGGGAGGTGTACGGCGCCGCGCTGAAGGAGGGGCGGCGCCGGCATGGGTGGCAGCGGCTGGCTCGGTGAGCGTGGCGTGAGATTTTCGCCGGGCATTCGCCTGGGCGTAGCATGGCCCTGGTGGCGCCAGGGCTCGAGGAGTGGGTAGCCGAGCGTCTTCAGAAGGGCGCGGCCGTGCTGAAGGAATGGCGAAAGGCCAGGGGGGAGGAGCAGCTGCTGCAGTGGGTCGTGCCCAGGGGCGCCGCTGTGACCGCGCCGCTTGTCCGCGCGCGCGGCACTGGCTCCGCTGCCTGCAGTCTCGGGTCAGGCGCGGACGCGGGCACGGCCGCTGCTGAGCGCCACGGAGAAGAGGATGGCCGCTGCCAGGGCGAGAGTCGCCGCCAAGGCAGCTGGCGCGGCAGGGTGCGCCATTTTTCGCGCGCGGTTGCGGCGGCTGGATTCCCCCGACCAGTTGCTGCTTGCTCGCAGGGGAAGCGCCCGCGGATCGCCCGGCGCTGAGTCTTGCTCATGACGACTGTTCCCTGTCTCAGGACCTTCTTCCGATCCCACTTGGTGCTGGGTCGGGCGCTGTACTCTCTGGGGCTCAGCCGCTGGTGGCTTCAGTTATTTAATCGCTTCGCTCATTCCGCCGGCCCGTACGGTCTCATGTCTGCCGTTTGCCCGAGGGCCTGGTGTCAATGCGGCGCTTTGGGGGTTCCTGGGGCCGCTTGGGGGGCTCCTGGGGCGCTCGGGGGGGCATTTGGGGGGCCTCCTGGGGCCGCTTGGGGGACTCTTGGGGGCCTCCTGAGGGCCTCGTGGGGGCCTTTGGGGGCATCTTAGGGGCCTCTTGGGGCCTCGTAGGGGCTTCTTAGGGCCGTGGGCTCGAAATTGTGTTTCGTGTTCCCTCTCTGGGGCCCCTCTGGGGGTGTTCTTGGGGCCCTCTTGGACCGTCTTGGAGGCTTCTTGGGCCGTCTTCGAGCCCTCTTGGGCCATCTTGGGGCCCTCTTGGGGGCCCCTTGGGCCCTCTTGGGGCGATCTTGGGGGCCTCTGGGGCCGTCTTGGGGCGTCGGGAACCGGAGAGGTGGAAGCTCCAAAATCTTTCAAAAACCTAAGGACAAAACAATGAATTTTGCCTCCGGGGGCCCTCTTGGGAGTGCTCTTGGAGGCCTCTTGGGGCGTCTGGGGGCTATCTTGGGCGTCTTGAAGCGATCTTGTGGCATGTCGGACCCCTCGTGCCATCTTGGGGGTCTCTTGGGGGCCTTGGCCTTTCTTGGGGCTCTCGGGGACGTCTCGGAGCCTTGTTGGTGCGCTCGTGGAGCGCTCCTGGAGCGCTCTGGGGGGCTCCTCCCGGGACTCTCTCAGGACCTTGCCGGGGTACTTTTCGTCCGTGGACCCCCAGGGGCCGCCCCGCGCGCGCGAACTAGAGAATTGTTAACCAGTTACCGGAGATCTTAGCACGCCTCTGGCCCGTTGGGCCGGCGAACTTCAATCAGGCGCGCTGCAAGGCGCGATCGGCAAAATAAACGGCTAAGAGAGGGGGCTCGCAGTCTGAATGCTCTGGGAGGTCAAGGGCGCGAAGTCGCTCGTGACGCGGTGTTGACAGTTGCCCAAAGCGCAGCTGTTTGTCGCCTTGCTGGCTTCTGCGGGTCGGTGAGCTTTCCAGGCCAGCATCGCGATTCACTTGCGTCGTGGGCGACGTTGCAGGGGCTCCAGCCTGGCTAGTCAGAGTCAGAGTCGGAAGGTGGCAGGGCGGTCTACCAGCCAGGCAAGATGTCCCGGCCTGGCGGCGGTGCTGGGAAGGTTCAGTTGGACGCGATCCTTCCCGACACGCTGCGCTTGATGCTGGAGACTGATTGCGGACTTCTGCGCGATCCTCCTGAGGTCGCCTCGAATTTTGCATCGTGCACTGAGAACCTACACTACCTTGACTTGAAGTTGGCGAGGAAGGGGCATGACTGCGGCTGCGCTCTGTCAGAGCAGTTCGACGCGGGCGTAATCGAGCTCGACCCCGGAGGCGCCAAGGAGGAGATTGGCTTGTTTTTCGTGCGGCGCAAAGATGACATGCTGGGCTTGATTGCCGATGCGCGAGCTGCCAATGTGCATTTTTGCGAGCCCAGCTGCACTAAACTGGCAAGCCCCGAGGCCTTGACGGCCATCGAGCGGCGCTCGGACGGCCTGGTGGGCTTCAGCTCTTGAGATGTGGAGGTGTGTTTCTACCTGTGCGAGCTGCCGTCCTGGCTCGGGCGCTTCTTCGCGCTGCCTGCACTGGAGGCCCAGTACCTGCCAGCGTCTTTGCGGCGCGGCCTCGGGCTGGCGCGCGACGCGTGCGCGGTTAAGTTCAGGTTCCGCGTGGTGCCGATGGGCTGGGGCTGGGCGGTGCATCTCATCCAGCAGGGCCACTTGGACGTGATGGATGCTGCGCTGAACAGCGGGCGCTGGGTGCTGGACAAGCGGCCTGGGGTTGACCTCGGCTCGGAGGATGCTGAGCTGCTCTGCATCGATAAGTTTGCCGTCGCTTCAGTGGATCAAGGACGCGCTGAGGGCGCTGTCCGCGCGATGCAGGAGGCGCTGGCTGAGCGGGTTGTGGTCAGTGCCATCGACGCAACCTTGGGGGTGACATCGGAGCTGCTGGGCTGCGAGCTGGACGGGCGCACGGGCAGGTTGCGGATCCGCCCGAAGCGGTTCTGGCGGTCGGTGGGCGCGCTGGATTACCTGCTGGAGGCGAGGCGCCCGGTGGCGGTGAAGGTCGCGGGTCTGGAGCTGGGGCGGCTGCTGGGGCCCATCGTGGCGGCCTGTATGCTGCGGCGAGAGTATCTGGTAATGCCTTTTGCCTGTTACACCTTTGCAGAGGCGTCGAGGGCGAAGCGTCAGCCGTCGTGGCCGAGTGCCCTAACGGAGCTGCGCTGGGTGGGGCGCCGCTGCCTTGTATCGTGGGCGACGTGCGCCGGCGGTGGTCGCCTGCAGTCGCCGCCTACGATGCGCCCCCATGGGGTTGCGGCGTCGTCGAGGCGGAGTGGGTGGCGGCAGACGCACTGGCGCATGGGATACTGTCAGAGCGCAGCCGCTTTCGAGGGCCGCTTGCCGCGGCAGGGGCACCGCGAGACCGTGTGCTGAAGGCGGAGGTTGCCCGGGCGCCAGACGCCGCATTGGTGCTTGCTGGCCGTGCCGTCGAGTTCCATGAGGTGAGCCCCGCGGCTTTGGTGAGCTCAGTGTGGCGCGTGGAGGGCTGCGGCCGCTGGCGACGCCGCGAGGCCGTCCGCTGCCTAGAGGCGGCTGCGGCCTGCTGGGCAGTGGGCCGCGTGGCGAAGGATGCGCGGCGCCGCAGTTTGCACCGCCTCGTGCTTGGGGGCAACATGTCAGTTACGTTGGCACTTGCAAAAGGAGGAGCTTCTCATCATCGTCTGCTGCTGGCTTGTCGGACCGTCTTCGCGCTCACTGTTGCAGCAGACATCAGAGTGCCAAGTCGATGGGTCCCATCAGAGTGGAATCCCAGTGATGAAGCCTCCCGTCGTTACCAGCCGCTTGGGCTCAAGGAGAAGTTCGAGCGGAAAGTGGCCCCCGCGTCTGGCGGGACGGTGCATGTGGAGGCGGACGCTGGCGGGGCGCACGACTGCGCTGTCCGCCCCCTGGAGTTCGGGGTCAGGCCGGGCCGCCGCGAGGCCCTCGCGCGCCCGCTCGGCCAGCCGACCAGCCCTTGTCTCCCGCCGCGCCGCTGCCGGGGCGCCGACGCTGGGGCGCGCGCGGCCGCGCCGGCTGCGTGGGCCGCGCGGCGATCCGACCTGGGGCGGCGGGCGCCGGCGGGGGCCCCGCGGCAGCAGCTTTGCCCCGGCCTCGCGCGCGCGGTGGCAGAGAAGGTGCAGGTGAAGACCCAGAGCGTATATTTGGGAATCTTCAAGGCCGCCCTGGTCTGGCTGCGCTTGGTCTGCCTCCTCGCCTGGACTTGCGCGGCGTGGGGCGCGACAGCCGTCGGCCCCATGGAGTGGCTACCACTGGAGGGCGAATCTGGAACGGCGTGCTGGTTAAGTCCGGTGATCAGGGCCCAAGTCAAGCTGGTGCCGTCTAAGACCTTCGCCTGCGACATGAGTGTCCGGTCGGGCTAGCTGAAGCAGCGTTGGCTTGCGCATGGCGCGGAGGCGCTGGCGCGGCTCCGCGGCTTCAGGGGGCGCCTGCGCGAGCTCGTGTACGTGGTCCTCGGAAGAAGCTTCAGGACAGCCTTGACTGCTGTTGGGGCCGCGGGGTTGCGGGCCATGCCCTGCTGCCTCCGCCGTGGAGGCGCCGGCTGCGACCGCAGCATGGCCGCCGGAACCTTGGCGGGCGACCTGCGGCGGGGCAGGTGGCGCACCGCCGAGAGCGTCGCCCCGTGCGAGAAGCTCAGCAGTGCCGGCCTGGAGTTGCAGAAGCTCGGCGACGGGCCCGTGTGCCAGCTGCGCCTGCGCGCGGCTGGCATCGAGCTCGCCCGCAAGAAGTTGTTCGCGCCGCGCTTCTGGCCGCGCGCGGTCGGGAGTTGGCGAGCTCAGCCGACATTTGTAAGCTCGAGGTGAAACCGTGATAGAATGGGACGTAACACATGGAGATTGTTCTAATCTTCCTATCCCTGAGGTGTGGCATGTGCTTCGTGGGTGGATCACTAGTCAGAAGGTGAAGGCTGCGTGGCTAGGAACCCCATGTGAAGGCTACTCTAGAGCCCGCCGTGCCCCCGTGTACAGTAGGATGCCCCGCGAAATTAAATCCCCTGAGCGCCCCGTGGGTCTCCCTGGGCTCTCTGAGAGAGATTGGCGCCTTCTCCTTGACTCCAGCCGTCTTGGAACCATTGGAATGCTGACCCAAAGTTTGTGCGTTGCTAGTGGCCTCCCTGGGGGGGGGGAAATCTGTGGCACAGTTTTTTGTGGTCTGAGCGCGTGATCGATGTCTGTGCCTGCGAGCGGCAATTCGCGGCCGCGCGCGCTTCAGATCTTGGCGTTGCAAGCTCGATCCAGTCCTGGACCCGGCTCGCTGTCACGGTCGTGGCACTTGCCAGCTCGCGCGTCGACCCCACCTCGAGCTTACTGGCAAACAGCAAGGGCAGTTTTGACTAAGTTCAAGAATGCCAATCCTCCTCTTGTTTGTTCCCTCCTTGCCTCTTCCCTCCACAATGCAAGTTTCTGTGAGACAACTCACGCAACGTGGATTCATTTTAAATAGCGAGTGCAATACACTGCTTGAGTGATGGCAGTTTTGGATGCTGGAAGATGCTATGATTTTGCCGAGGCCCTCTGTTAGCAGTTCCTCGGCTGATGTCCTGCGTGCCTCAAACAGTTTCACTGATCAGAAAAAACGCTCAGGGAAGTACTGCGCGAGAATTGTCAGCGTTTCGTCCATCGCTGTTTGCCCTCAAGCCGTCTTCCACCTACCAAAGGCCATCCCTCGCCTCGGTGGACTTGAGATAAGTGAGATGGCAGTCTGTTCGAAAATGATTTGATGTTGCCGAGGCCCTTTGTTAGCAATTCCTCGGCTGATGTCCTGTGCGCCGCAAACAAGTTCATTGATCAGAAAAAAGCGCTCATCTTTTGACCGTCTCGGTGCCCTCTTGAGCAATCCTGGGGCCCCAGTGGGGGCATTTCTGGCCGTCTTGGGGTCTTCTTGGAGGCTCTTCGGGCCGTCATGGTCCTCTGAGAGCCGAAGCGGCGAGTGCGCTAACATCTTTCAAACACCAGCGGAAAATCAATGATACTGGCTCCTGGAGGCGCTCTTTCGGGTCCTCTTGGGGCCCCCATTGAGCCGTCTTGGCGGCCTCACGGGCCGTCTTGGGACCATATTGGGCCGTCTTGGCGCCGTATTGGGCCGTCTTGGGGCCATCTTGGGCAATTTTGAGTCTCTCTTGGAGTCCCCAGAGGCCCTGGAGGCCCAAATCGTCGATGTTTTTGTGTACATTTGTGTATGTATGTATGTATGTATGTATGTATGTATGTATGTATGTATGTATGTATATAGATATGTATGTATTATGGTTTCGAAATCCCGAAAAGGGGGGACATCCACCTTGGGTTTGTGGAGTGACGCGGCTCCAGGGGGTTAGGGGGGAAACATATTAATGTAAAACAAGATGTGGCAACTATACAATGATAGGATACATAGGGTATGTTTCATTATCGCCTCCGCAGAAAAATGTTGCCGCTCAGCACGTCACCTCCGGACGTGGATTCAAATGGATTCCGCCATTCCGCCGACCCCCCAAAAGGAACGAGTGCTTGCGACGATCTTGGAAGTTGGCTGGTGTGTCAGGAGCTTCTTGGATGCATCTGAGGGCTCGTGGGATGCCTCTCGGCGG